GTCCAGAGTTTAAAATAACAAAATGATTAAAAACTAAAATCTTAGAGAGTATAAAGTTAGTAATCTAACAGCCAGGATTTCAACCTGGATCCTATTTTTCCATGTTGTGTGTCTAAGCTACGAAATGGAACAACATTTTTTTTTTTTTTCCCCCAAATTGGTCCAGTATTGAGCCGGCTGCAGCCAGTGGCAGTGAAACAGGCTGCAGCGTAACCACTCGGGGTATGTTTGCACATATGTCACATGCAATTTATGTCCAGTAAACGTGTTTGTTTTTGCCACTGACAGGCTCAGATTGTTATTCCAAATGTCCGACAACATTATGAAAAGAATCCCTACACAGATAGAAGGTTTTGTTAAAGAGTAAAATCCTTTTTGTTTAATCAGACACAGCTCTGAAATTGCCTCAGCCAAACCCACCAGACTCCATTTAAATAAACATCAATTTTAGCATGTATAGAGGCAGCATATTTTCACATCTAACTGGGTGAATTAAGGGTTTATTCCAACCAAACCAGAGTTGGTGGTCACTGTCCCAGTGGGAAAAAAAACAAGATGGCACTTCAAATAAAGTGTGTTTTACAATGATAAAATTACTGTGTATTTAAATGGAGTCTGGTGGGTTTGGTTATAGCAATTTTGAGGCTGTTTCTGGTTAAACAAAAAGGATCTTACTCTTTTACAAGAGGGTCTATCTCTGTAGGTATCCCTTCATTAGTGTTGTGTGACACTTATAATAACAGTCTGACCCTGTCAGTGGCAAAAACGGTGTGAACACGCCCTGGGTGGTGACATTTCAGCCTGTTTCTCTGCCACAGGACGTGGCAGTCTCATTCATTACTGGTCACTTAGACACAAAAACATAGTAAAGTAGGATCCAGGTTGAAAATATACCAAACCTACCTGTTATTTAAAAGAGACAAGAACTGATAGTTGCAGCCCTAAATGTTTCAGTGTCGTCTTTTTTCTTGTACCATATAACTGCATTGTGTAAACAGACACGTAATGAACTTTGAGGTGTAATATAATGTTTCTGGATGCCAGATTTAGCCCAGATTTTACATGTACTTTTGACAGGAGTAAACTGAATTAAAGAGCCTTTGTGTCTGTATTTACCAGAGTTGCTGATCTTCCCACAGTTGGCCGTGCCTGCATTACCCGGGGCCACCAGGACCTGCTGGATCTGCGGCGACTGGGCCAGTTTCCAGGCCAGCGCGTGCTCCCGTCCACCACTGCCGACCACCAGCACCCTCTCTGCCATGGTACCTGAGAGACGACAAAGACCCAAAAAGAAATCTCAGTGTGTAGTATTAAAATGAAACCATTCTCGGATACTCAGCAGAGCAGCCAGCACTTTTAATTCGCCTTAAACCATTCATAGAGTGCCCATTTAATTGCATGCAGAGATTGACCTATAACGAAAGGAGTTCCCTAAGCTGTGTGGAAGTGCTGACCTTTTCTCAGGCCTGGGGTCTTACATTATCTTGTAATGCCACACTTACACGGATCCAATCAGCTAGAACACAAACACAAGTCAACAATTAAATGGCATGGTCACCAGGCAAGGCCAAATCACCACCAACCGGGCCTCATTTGCATGGAAAAACAAAGCCATTATAAGGTTGATATACAGTAAACTGCTCGCCTCAGCCTCAGTTTGGCACTGCAGTTACTCTGCCGTCTCTCTCTGTGGGGGTTTTATTTCCCAAACATAATGACTGAGTTACATTTGTTTCTGAAGCAAACCAATGTTCTGTAAAACAAGTTTTTCTTATTTTATTTGCACACATAAGGGACAGAAAATTATGATTTTAGAAATATACAGAACCATGCAAAGACTGTGTTCTTATTTGTGATGACTTTTGTGACAACCTAAAGTGTCTGTGACTGAACAAGTAACTGTATCTGAGAGGATTTCACATTGGAAAGACCTTATCTCAGAGTGTCACACAATGTAAATCCACTAAACAGACACCAGTGTCCCTCATGACACATTTGGATCAATATTTCTAATCACTGTCAGAAAAAAACTGAATTATTTGACTGGTTTTGGAACATATTTGTTGTCCTTAACTTTCTAAACTAGTAAGAAAAAAACAAAAACAAAAACACTATATTCACCTTCACTATAAAGTGTAGCTCAAGAAAAATCAATTCCAACATTTAACATTACAATTACAAAATTCTATGTACAAACACACAGAAATACCTTTTATATGGATGGAAAATGACTTAAAATGAATGTAAAAATACAGGAATAAATAAATAGGAAAATTAATCAATAAATATGAAACTCCAGGAATTAAAAAAAAAAAAAGGAAATAAATAAATGTAAAAATAAATCCAGGAATAAATAAATAAATGTCTAAATATGGAAATAAATAAATTAATGTTTAAATAAATCCAGGAATACATTAATATGAAAACAAAAATCAATAAATATGAAACTAAATCCAGGAATAAATAAATAAATATGGAAATAAATCAATGTTTAACTAAATAAATGTAAAAAAAACAAATGTAATTGTTAACAAAAATGTAAATGTAAAAAATAAATATAGACAGAAATAAACAAAACAAATACAGCAGTAAATAAATAAATGTGTCAATAAATACAGGAATAAATACATAAATATGGAACAGACAATAGATGTGTAAACAAATGCAGTAATAAATGTATAAATAAATGTATAACTAAGTACAGAAATAAATAAATGGGAAAGAATAAATATGGAAATAAAAAAAAAATAAATGCATAAATAAATAACAGTAGATCATCAAACAGAGCATAATTAAATAAATATCTTAAATTTATTTCTACATTTTTGTACAACCACATTTATCTATTTATGTTTTTGGGTCTGTATGTTCATGAGGTAGGAGGTCTTAACCTCTGCATTTATTTCTTGATTTTTGCATTAATTTACTTACTTCAGCATTTATCTATTTATTCTTGCAACTTATTTATTTTTTCATAGTTGTGTCTTTTCCTGTCTTCCATACTTTAACCCCTATCAACTCAAACGTACCCAGGTCAGAGGTCTGCACTGATTTAAGGATTGGGAAACTCCATAGTTTACTATAATAAAGACCTGCATGCGTCTGTCTGGGAGCAGACACAGTACAAAGGGGTAAGTGTCTCACATTGGGTGCACATGTTACACAATTAGTAAAATCACTGGCTTTTATTGAAATCAGTCCGCTCATGTGACTCACATGTCAGAGAGCAAATCAAATGCATGAGTCCAACAATGTGATTTTTAAAACACTCCTTAAAGAAAATGTGTTATAAGCTATTTTATACTCAACTGCATTTGCAGCACCAACTAAAACTCAGTTTACTTTGGTTTAGTTGTGTAAAAGATGTCAGATAAGTTAGTACAAGCAGTTCACTTACAGCATATATCATAAACATGGCTGCACGTGCAGAAATAAACTGTACATGCACTTATTCTGCAGTTTAACAAGATGGATGGTGTTGTCTGCACCCTGAAGCATCTATTACAATACCTCGGCTAACCTCAGCTCTGTCTATGTTAGTAAAGCATGTCTAATGAACAGTATAACTTCTGCAGCAACATTAGCAGATAAACCGCTGGTGAAATGAACTGTTTGAACACTCACCTGTGTGTTAGTGTTTGTGTGAAGCAGGAATTAGCCGTAGCCCAGCTCAGGACAGGACAGCAGTCAGAAGTGTCTCCTCTGCTCTCAGCCTGCTGACTGACCATGGATGCACAGAAAGTAATCACTCACACACACATACACACTACACACACCACGTGGATCCAAGATAACACCATCATGTACATAACGGCGCTAAACGCAAATAAACGCTGCGCAAAGTTAAAGCTAACAATGCTAATAGCATTAAAAACACACCTACAGTCGTCTTTGTTTCTTGTTATGTGTCTTACCTTAATCTGCTGCCCTAACTGCTGCTTTTTGGCAAGTTTTTTAGTTTGTTCAACTTCCGCGGGGTGTTACTGTCCAGTGCATCATGGGAAATGTAGTCAATTAGCAATGGCGTGTACAAAGTTTCCAGAAATGTCATAACTAACTTAATAATTATTGCGCAAAACATATACATATTATATATATTATGACATGTTGTTTAAGATAACAAATTAAAACGTACCTCGTTATTAAAAAATTAAACTCGAAACTTAAATTTGCACAAAAAACAACAACAAAACTATTAGATTGTTTAGCAGCCCCCAAAGGTTTTTCTTTTGTGTCTGTCTTTTCCCTGTATTTTTCATTATTCTTAATTTACATTTATTCATATACATATATTTACATTATTTCAGCAAAAACTATTAGATTATTTGTTTTGCAAACCACAAAGGTTTTTGTTTTCCTTATGTTTCTAACTTTTTCCTACATTTTATTCATTTGTTATAAAATTTAATTTATTTTAACATTATTTTAAATTATCAATATATATTTTCTACAGCTTTTAGAATGAAAATTTGGACCATATATACTCCATGTAATAAATAATTTCAATAAAGTTGAATTTATTAAATAAATAATAATAGAAATAATAATGATACAAAAGCTTCCAGAAAAGTGCACACCTTCGCCTTAGTCTAGCACAAAATATATATTTTTTTAATCTATTTTATTTTGTTTAATTTTATTTTTTAGAAATATAAATTCAATTTTATTGAATACTTTCATTAATACTATTCATTTATGTCCAGGGATCTCATTATACACGTTGTAAAAAATATATTACAACCATATTTTCAAAATATAAAACTAAGGGAAAAATATATTAAACTGTAAGCTAGGATGAGTCATGGGGAGAAACTTTTGTTTGTCACTTGTACTGCTGAAAGCAGCATTGAAGTGTAACTGTTACGGCTGTGTATGTGTTTTGTGCTGCTGTCCCTTTTCCCTCCTTGTAGATCTGCCCAGGTGTGCTGCATTACCTAACGATGTGCAGCACACCTGGCATGGAGGAGGTGCTTAAGAGCTCCTGTGCCAGCAGCAGAGAAGAGAGGCTCTGGTGTGGGGACTGCTGGTTCTGCTGCCTCTCACCATGGGTTTTTGTTGTCTTTTTTGTTTTAATTCTAAAAAATCCCATGGATTTGAGTGCTTTAAAGGTGTTCATGTGATTATTTTGGGTTGTATTTTGGGTTGTTCGCCCCATAGGGCCGTCTAAGGGTGGGGTGTAACAAATGGGGGCTCGTCTGGGAGAGAACATCCATAAGGTGAAATGTAAGTTTCTGTGTGTATCTCGTGGCATCTTTATGTGTAGAGGTCAGCTCTTCTATTAAACTCTTTGTGGTTGTTTAGTTGAAACTTTAGTTTTGAGCACCCTGACTAGGTAGTCACCGGGCAGGTAAGATCTTGCCAATTTGTTATTTTGCCTTTTTTTTTTTCATTTTTGGTGGTAATCATGAGTGGGGGCACGCTTCAGGGTGTTACAGTTGGCTACTTCTTAGTCTTCTGTGACGAACTTAGAGTTCAGCGTTTAAAGCTGCTTCGAGCTCGGCAGGCCACTGAAGACTAGCTAGGTTAGGTAGCTGTCTTGGTAGGTACGTCAGGGTTGGGGTGCCCCAACAACTTGTTTCCTAGTTTTTGGCACTTTACAGAGCAACTTGATTGTGATTTTGTTTTGCTTGAGATGACTAGTTTCTGTTTGGTCACTGTTTTGTGTAGCTGTGATAAATACTTGTGTGCAGTAATTTGTGGTTTATGTCCGTTAGGGTGGTGGTCACTGCACTCCACATTTGGTGGGTCACTTGTGGGTTGCTGCTTAGGTGTAAGTTGGCAACATTTGTGTAGTGGTTGACTACATTGTGACCATTTTGTTCTGTGGTTGTTGCAGTCCACTTTTTGGTGTGGTCACTTGTGTGTTACTGCTTTTGGGTATTTCTTGTAGCAAATTCATTGTGACCTTGTTTTGTGGTTTTGAGATGTAGTCACCCCCCCACAGATCATTGGATCTTGGAGTGGTGGGTGTGGCTTCCCAATTCAATAGGTCCATTTGTGTTGCTGGTTTCCTGCATCCATCACAGTAACGTGTGTGTGGTTGAAGACCATAATGGTGTCCATTTTGTGTTGTGGTAGTGGCAGTTCACTTTTGTTTGGCTCTTTGTGTTGCTGTCTGTATGGCAGCAACTACTTGTATGATCCTTTTTGGTTTGTTGGCTACTTGTGCAGCTGTTGCTTATTTTTGAACTCAGTGACATCAGTTTAGTTGGCCCTTTTTTATGATTTGATCTTGTTAGATCCAAATTTGACCCAAAGGTGCTACTAATCTGGGTGTTTAGTTGTGTTCATCTTAATATACAGCCTTGGTAAGTAGCACTCATTTCCTCTTACACTTTCAATGAATAAATGTCATTTGTCAATGAACTATGGAGTGTTTTTATATAATGTATTAACCTTTAACTGCCTCAGTACTTGAGATTGACAGTGTGACTGTGCTGCTGTCCCTTTTCCCTTCCTTGTAGATCTATCCAGGTGTGCTGCATTACCGAATGAGGTGCAGCACACCTGGCATGGAGGAGGTGCTTAAGAGCTCCTGTGGCAGCAGCAGAGGAGAGAGGCTCTGGTGTGGGTACTGCAGGTCCTGCTGCCTCTCACCGAGGGATTTTTGTTTTGTTTGCCTGTTTTCAATTCTAATAATTCCCATGGAATTCATGTGATTGTTATGGGTCAGTGTTGGAGTTTTGTTCGCCCCATAGGGCTGCCTAAGGGTGGGGCGTAACAGTAACCAAGTGCATTTACTAAAGTACTGATAACTTTGAGGTACTTGAGTATTTTTGTGTTACTTCAAGCTTTAATTCTACTATATTCTTGATTAAAAAATTTCACTTCACTTCCCACATTAACAGCACCGCTCTGCAGATTACATACTAAACCTAACATGACTATAAAATACTAATGCAGGGTTATAGTTAAGCTAAGCTTAAATTAGCTTTGACTACAACAGTAAAAAGCTGCTTACACCTAAATACATTGTTAATTATCCATTAATAAAAATATATAATGAGATAACAGCAGCATTAAGCTCCCTGAGAACTTTTACTTTATGTTATACAGATTTTTTTGCTTGATCTAATAAGATTTGGATATCTTTACTGAGTGGCTATTTAAAAATTAAATACATGGCCTGAATATGTCTTCCACCACTGGCCAACAGCCACCATTCAAACCTCCATAAAACTGATTTATTCCAATTGTAGGTGGATTTCAGGGGTGGGGCATGGGGGGCATTTGTCCCCCATTTACACCATGAATTATTGCAGTACAGGCACAAGCTGTTGCACAAAAATCACTGGAATACAGGAAATTAAGTGTTTAGTGCTCAAAAGTTTCTGGTAAAGGACCCCCTAAACTCTGTTTCATATGTGCCCCTGCAGTGATGAAACATAACATCACCCTTGTACATGCAGCAAATCGGTCCTACAACATCTAACATCTAATATAGCATTGACTTTAAGTATGGAAAAGTGAGCTGCCTCGCAGGATAAACAGATGGATATCATTCTTAAATTGTGCCAGTATCTAAGTACCCTGGCTGTAATGACTCCACCACCGTCACTGCTTAATGTGGCCTTTGGAGCAATCAGAGGAGTTTAGTGTGGTGATATAAGCTTCTGACCATCAGGATGTTAACAGCTCTGAAATACAAGCTGGAGCTTTGCCATTTATTGCTCTGAAAAAAATCAATACATTCTGAAAGTCAATCCTAAAGTTAACTGGGAGACAGCGTAAAGTGGCCAAATAGGGACTGATGGGATCGGCTTTTTTGTTAGCTCTAGTTAAAAGTCTGGATGCAGAGAGGAGCAGATGAGGGGAAGCTTTTGCACAGTGAGCTACACTGCAGGAGTACATGATGGCATAGATAGAGTAAAAAGACACAAAAACAACCAAGAAAGATACAAATTGACCTCAGAGATGCAAAAATGTCCAAGAGTGGGCCTCCCTGTAGTGGTTAGCACTTGTCTTCCATGTGGAACATCCAGGTGTTGAATCCTGCTGGGGTCGACGTCAGCAAAGACATGCCGTGGCAAGAGGTTCCCACCGCTGAATCAAACGGGATTCCTTAAGGAGGCTTCAGGATAAGAAAGTGACTCCGGAATCTGAGCCAAGTCCACCACAAGGCAGCGTCTCAAGCCCGCTGTAGACGGGAGGTGTCAGACATAAAAAGCGATGAGTTGCAAAAATGACCAAAAAAAGTCACAAAATGGCCTTAAAGAGGACCAAAAATGACTATAAAAGTAACAAAATGACATTAAAGACACAAACATGACTATAAAAGACACAAAATGACCTTAAAGAGCAACCAGTGAAGACACAAAATCAATGAAAGACACAAAATGACCTTAAAAAGACACAAATGCTCTCAAAGAATGCTTGCTTAATATTTGAAACATACTTTATTCAAGTAATTCACTGACATGAAACTGTTTATAATGCATGGGAAAAACAACAGGCATCAGTGAGAGAAATGTTCATGGATGATGGTGGTGAGTTGTTGGAAACATCTGTAGCTGTTTGGTGGCAGAAAGCAGCTGGCAAATGAAGCCACACATGAGGGCACTTGACACAAAAGATGTATTAAACATCAGATTTTTGTGGTTTTGTTTCCTGTGAATGCACAGTTTAATTTTCCTTCATATCACTTACACACATCTGCAATATATTCACTTTCTGTGCAAATGTTTATGTGGTTCATATGTCTCCAACCTGCCATCTGCAACAACTGCATCATCAGTGTTTTACTTCTGATTATAATAAATTAATCTTCAAGCTATAAGTTCATGAGTCTGGTCACAGCAAAGGAAGCTCAGGAGCTTTGAGGAGTTCTTGTCCTAAATCTGACTCTCGTAGAGCAAAGAGTGTGACGCCTGAACTGTACGCTGCTGGGATCGTGATGTGCGTTAACTTGGGTCGATTTTGTTCCTGTTCCTCTTCTAGGGCCATCTGCCTCACTTGACCTGATGGGAAGAAAATAGGGATGAAAACACTTACAACGGAAGAAAAATCTGCATAAATCTGCATTAATCAAACTAATTAGCTGCGCCTACCCTCGACATCCAGGGCTTTCCACCGTGGGTCAGACTGGCTGTCTGATAAGCTGGACAGACAGCAATCTGGCGTCAGTCTCTGCAGGACGTCTTCTCGACGAATCAGCAGCACAGACTCACTGCAGAGTCTCTGGTGCACCTCTCCCTCACTTCCTGAAACAGAAATTTAATTAAAATGCATAAGGAGACACGAATCTCCTGAAATGAGTTGCTTTTTCTTTTCTTTTTTTTTTTTACGGTACTCACCTACATCTAAAGGATTGGTCATGAAAACAGCATTTGGTGCAACGCCAAATATGAGCTGATGGTGCCAGGCGTCAGGCACCTCTTCTCCTTCAGGCACAACAAGCTGCATGTTCATGGTGGCCACAGGAACAGCACCTTTTCGGATCCAGCGTGCGAGCCAGGGGACCAGTCTGACCAGCCGCCGAGGGTGAAAGTGGAAGAAGCGACCTATCACCTTCCCCTTACTGGCCTCCTGTGCTCCTTGGATGAGCTGAGCGTGAGTCGCACCTAAAAGAAGAAGTAATCCTCATTTCAGTTTCTTCTCATCACTGATAAGATCATTCTGGGAATACAGCACAGGCAAAGAATAACTCTCCTCTTTGAGCAGTTGATTGTCACTAAAGAAAATGGCAGTGTTGTAATTTTGCATCTGTACACAGCACGGACGCAAGCTGAGACCAATCAGAGAGGAGAAAATATGTGGAAATACTCTCGTTTTATTGGCTGACAGGTTGGTCTATGAATGGATTACTGGACAGGCCTATGTGGGCAAAAGTGTCAGGGGCTCCCCAGGACTTCACCTGCGAAATATCACTCAAGTCAACAGGTATCGACCACTCAAAAAGACCACAAAGAGACACAAAATGGCCTTAAAGAAACAAAAAAAATGACCAAAAACGACACAACAGCTCCTCAAAGAGACACAAAACGACAAAAAAAAGAGACACAAAATGTCCTCTGAGGTTCAAAAATGACCGCAAAGACACAACAACTCACAAAACTCAGCATTTTTTGTGTGTATTGTGGTTACTGTACTCTTAAGGTTGTGGCAGAAACATATATGTTTGTAAATGTAAATAAGATACATAACAGAGTCTTGTTTCGGATTATCCTAGACCACCCTACAGAGATCCAAGCCAAGCCCCCCCTCCTCAAGCCCCAGGAACAGCCCTGAAATACAGGAAGTCGTTATGTTTTACTTGTCGTGTCTGAGATCAATGATTACAAGTGTGTTTCCTTTCCACTCAGAACCGTATGTTGCGATGACAGCTTGAGCTAAACAGCTGAAATGTCAATGCAAAAATTGTGAAACAGAGCTGAAAAAGTCAATTACAGTGGCTCCTCTGAGAGACATAAAACTCTTTGTCTAATTCAAGAGGGTACTTTTGAATTTGCCTGGTTGGCAGTGCAGCCAGCTGTCACGCTGGCAGGAAAAGCGCACTTATGGGTTCAAGGCGTTACAGAGCCCCATTCAGCGGGGAAGTTATCGTCTCCGTGAGCATCTGTGACACCTGAAATATCACTGTCTGCAGAGCCCAGTTAAGATATGATACCTACACAAAGTCATGCTTTATGTCTTTGTATGTCATTACCTGAAATGTCACAGAACAGTTCGGGGAGCTCAGGTGTGTAAGGTGTAATATCTGCCACTTAAGTGAAGTCAAACAATGTAATCAGTGCTGGAAAGTAGCTTAATACATTTACTCAAGTACTGCCCTTCAATACAGATTTGAAGTACTTGTACTTAACCTGAATATTTCCATTCTTTGCAACTTTATACTTCCACTTCTCAGAGGCAAATATTGTACTTTATATTTCATTTATCTGACAGCTTTAGTTACAGATTAGTCTTCATCCCCTTCCTGTCCTGTGAAAACCATGTATCTCCAGATTTGTTGATGTTCAATGGTTGTGATAAACAGAGGAAATTTTAATTTAATTTAATATACTTTATTAATCCCCGAGGGGAAATTCAATTTTTCACTCTGTTGTCATTAACACACAGGTCCGAACACACACACATGCACAAACTGGACCTATACATGCACAAAGTGGAGAGATGTCAGAGTGGGCTGCCCATGACAGGCGCTCTGAGCGGTTGGGGGGTTCGGTGCCTTGCTCAGGGGCACCTCGGCAGTGCCCAGGAGGTGAACTGGCACCTCTCCAGCTACCAGTCCACGCTCCATATTTTTGGTCCGGATGGGGACTTGAACAGGCGACCCTCCGGTTCCCAACCCAAGTCCTTAAGGGCTGAGCTACTGCTGCCCCAAATGTAATATGTGATAAAATGTAATATGTAACTTTTTTTGCAATAAAACTTTAAAAAAAATGACTTAACCAATGTCATATATTTGGTTGAGCTGTTAACTTACATTACCCCAAATGTTTTCAACAATATTTAACCCAGAGAAATCTATAATTTGAGTCGAGGACATGGTGTGTGTCATCTGGTCGCTGTCACCTGTCAGTGGTGTCATATCCCCCTTTGCGCTTGCGTCAGAGTTGTTGTCATGAGTTGGATTTTTGTCCTGTTTTAAGCCACATTATTACAATAACCTTTTTAGATCTTTGATTGTTTTTAATTATATGTTATCACCAGAAGAAGGATTTTAGTCATCAGACATCTGGATTTTAAGTTATCAGAGAAAAAAGAGGGGCAAACGTTAGTGGCAGCTCAGCTCCAGACCCTGCTGTGTCAAGCAATGTTGGAAAAACAGATTTTTAACATAAAACTGCTTTATTCATTTTTGTTTTACCGGTTTAAATCCCAGAGTCAGTTTGTTTTGGCGAGTGAGAGACTTCT